TATTTTTGCCTAGAAAGGCCTATTCCTTTTTGGTCCAGGTGACCTCCTCAAATGTTGCCCTAATCTCTCCCCTGAAACCTGCTACCATCATCACCAACAGGAAGGTTTAGTGATTTCCTTGTTCCTCCCTTCTCCTCCATCTTATTCCTAATGGAATATGACAGGGACCAGCACAGGTTGAAATAGTATTTGTTGTCCTTCTCCCTTCTGAGGACAAACAAATCCAAAGGAAGGACTGTATCTAGTTATGGGCATGTTCCCAGAACCGGGCCTAACACACATCAGGTGCTCAGTAAGTGGTTGGGGAAAATGTATTGGACACTCACTTCTTCTTTCTACACTGATTTAGAGACCATATCAAGCCAGGCTTATTTTGTTCTCAATCAGGTCAAATATGGTGAGTGTGGTGGTGCACACTTGTAATCCCAGTACCCTGGAGAGCTGAGGCAGAGGGATAACAAGTTCAATCCTAGCCTGGGGAATTTACCGAGACTCTGTCTCAAAATAAAAAAGGCTGAGGATGTGGCTCATATGGAGACCCTGGGTTCAATCACCAATATGGAGAAAAAGGAGGGGTCAAATTTATGCTCATCTACTTCAAAGACAGGGAAGCAAGGTAGGTGGGTGGGTGGTCAGCATGGGACTTGTAGTGGGTGGAAAAGCCTCCTTCAGTTATGGATATGATGGTGATGGTTAATGTGGGGCCATAATAATTCATATTCCTTTTGCATAGGTGTAGCTGGGCAGGAGATGCCTAGCCTGAAATATATTCTCAGCCTCCCTTGTATTGTGGGTGACTGTGTGACTCAGTTCTGCCTATATGGGCAGAAAGAAAGTCTGTAGGTCACTTCTGGACAAGTCTTTTTAAATTTTATTTATTTACTTTTTTTGGTACTGGAGATGGAACTCAGGACCTTGCACTTTCAAGGCAGGCGGTGGAACCACTGAGCTAAATCCCCGGCCCTGGACAAGTCTTTTTTTTTTAATTATTATTTTTTCCAGAACTGGAAGTTGAACTTAGAGAGTGCTAAATTATATCCCCAGCCCTTTTTGTTATTATGATATAGGATCTTGCTAAGTTGCCCAGGCTGATCTAGAACTTGTAGTCCTCCCATCTCAGCCTCCTGAGAGGCTAAGATTATAGGCATGTACCTCCATATCCAGCTAGACAAGACTATGGGAAGCAGGTAAACCTCCATCCAGCCTCCTCACAGTTACTAGGTGGAAGCTGATCATTCTAAGTCCCTAGGAAATAATGGAGTCGCAAGATTAACAATCTAGTGTGTAAATCACTAAATGGAGGACAGCTGCCAACTAACAAGGACACCTGTGAGAAATAAAATATTGCTTGAAGTCACTGAAATCCCAGAGATTATTGTTTACAGCAGCTGGCATTATGCTAATACACTGATCCCCTCCTTTCTGGGCCCCTGATATCCATAACGCTTGAGTAGCAGTCACTATGAAATGAGCCTCTAATTCCCAATGGTGCTACTCAGGCATTCATACTGCAGGTCCGTCCTGTGGCTCAGTCTCTATGCTTGCTATCTATATGTTTCCCTCCATTCTTTGCACAAATGTAAACTTCCCCCCACATGCAGTGGAAGCCTTCACCATTGTTGAGTAGAACCCTCTTCTGCAGGGTCTTTGTGGTGGCCCTGCAAAAGTTGGTGATTGCTAGGACCCCTCAGTCCGATTTAGGGTGATTAGTGATGTGGGGGAAGGGAGTGCTCATCTTCCTGCTCCTCTCTTTGAACCCCACCTTGTGATGTACACCTTCAGACCCGATCTTTAGTGAGTCCCTGGTCCTCACTCCAGATCTATGTGCTAATTATACATCTGTACTAATTCCAGAGAACTGCACTGGCTAAACTTGGGTTGGTGGGTGCTAGTTGAGGCACGGGAGGACACTATTTCTATCCTCCCTACTCCAACAACCTGCTGGCTTGGAAGGACACTGTGTCCCTTTATAAAGTGGCTCTTTTTTGGCACACTGACTTCACTGATTTGAGTGTGCATACATGAATGTGTGCACATGTGCTTGTGTGTGTGCATGTATGTACCCATCCTTTCTGGATGTTTAATGTGAATCTCTCTTTCATGTGTGTATGTGTGTGTACGCAAGAAAGAATCTGTGCAGACTGTTGTTTCTACATGTGACCTTTCACATGCATGATGTGAGGCTGCATTTGTGCTTGTGTTTTGGAGATATTGTCTAGTGTGCATCTGTGTATGTCTCCCTATCTCAACACAAGCCCCTGTAATTGCATGTGTGTGTTTCAGTGAGCTTCCAAGTTCATGTGATGCATGTGTGAGTATGGGTGTGTCCCATGTGGCCATATTCTGTGTGCACTGGGCTGTGCATGGATGAGAGCAGTCTCCTTTCCCCCAAGGCCTCCTCAGTGCTTAGGCAATTTAACCTCATTCTTTCTGCTGTGGCTGTTTCCGCTGCTTCTGTCCTCCTCTCCAGATGTTGCAATTAAGCAAATGCAGCAATTAAGCAGAGTCCCCCAAACAACCATCCCACCAGGATCCCCTTCCAGGAGCTAATGAGGGGTTGTAGCATATACAGACCCACACAGCACTATCCGGGTACTTAGGGATGCCAGGCTGCATACACCATGGCACACAGGGACAAGTGAGTTGCACACAAATGGCGCAAGGAGTCCCTTTGCCCACCTGCTCCATGCATGCCTCTTCTTCGGGTCTGAGAATAATGGCCCCCAATTCCAAGCAGCCTCTCAGGCTCAGAATTGGGAGGAGAGACCAAACTCTGCCTATGCCTTCCCCCCATTTCTTCCCCCATCAGAGCCTGGACAACTGTAGCCTGTGCATTGTCATCAGCCCTTATTATTTTGCCCTGCACTTTTCCCCATTACTGTCCTGACCACCCTGGCCTGCTGTTCCTCATCACAGCCCCAATCTTTCTAGCCTGAGCTTCTCCCCTCCCAGTCCTGACCACTCTAGGCTATCTGGAGATGTCACTTTCTCCCTTTGGGAATGACAGTTCAATGAAGGCAGGACCCGAGCTGTCTCAGTCCATGTTTACTGCAGTGTCAACTAACACAGCCAAGCCCAGACCTCTGGAGCCAGTGTCAAAGTAGTGATAGCATCTTGGCCTGTGCCTGTCTGATTCTGCACACACCCCAGCTGCTACTGTCCCTCAATCCAGCGAGTTTTACCATAGCAGCTGAGCTCAGGCTGGGCACCTCTGTTTTTCCATCTCAAATCTCAAGTGGCTCTCGGTATTACTTCCTTTCCTCCCAGGGACACTCATCACCCAAGTTGGGGAAGAAGTGGAAGATAAATGCCAAGTCTCTCTGAATTTTGCTAGGGAGCAGGATAGGGAAATAATTCTGATGTGTTCTCCAGGGTTCCTTAAATTCTCCAGCAGAATGGAGGCCCAATATCCAGAGAGGTACCCTGTTCCCCATCAAAGCTAATTTGTTAGCTTCCTCTGTCCTGTTTCACTCTCCTCTGTCCCTTGCCCCTCTTTCCGGGGATCACCCCCAAATTTGGTCCTGCTCTCAGGATTGTCTCCATCTCTGTCCTTCTGTCTCCCCCAGCTCTACCACCTCTGCAGGTCTCTGAAGCTTTTGCAGCCCTTCCCTGAGTTTCTGAGTGATCATATTGGCTGTGCCAGGCCAGGAGAACTGATGAACTTTGCTAATGATCTGGAAAGGCGGGCCCCAGGGCTAGGTTAATTTTAGCTGCAATTCTTCAATACACACAAGTAGAAGAAGCCAAAAGTCTACTCCGAAACCTTCAGCAGAGCTAGGGGTGCAAGGGTAGGGATGCATTCACACCCCACTCCCAAGGTCACTTTACTCTTCCACTCAGGTTTCCCAGGGGTGGTTTTAGGACTACCCAGGCTCCCCTGGGTAGGGCCATGCCCACCTCATTCCACCCAGGCCGAGGCTGGGTTCCCTTTGGATCAGGGCTCCTGGAAGATCAGGTCCCCTGTGTTGCTCTGACCAAGTTCCCTAGCCATACCCTCTTCCCGAGACATCATCTGCCAGGACACTGTGGGACACCTCCTCTCCCCTCCCCTGCCCCAGCGCCACTCCCTGTGAGTCATGTGTCTGCACAATCCCAACCAGGGTCTTCTGTGGGCAGTGGGCCTGAGTGGGAGGAGGGGAAGACAGTCGGCCACCCTGACCAGACCCCTCCCTCTGACCCATTTTCTGCCTTCTCCCTCCTCCTCAGGACATCTGGTTAGTGTCACTTGAGGTCTATTCCTAATCCTGGGGGGCACAGGGTCTTGGAGCCAAATTTTCCCCTTGCAGACAGGGAAAGGAACCTTGGGAAGGAACAAAGGTCAGATCTATTGCTGGGCAGAGCTCAGGTAAGGAAGCGTCACCTGTGGAAAGGACACCCCAGAAAGGCAGTGCTGAGCTGGGGGTGAGGGCTACATTCAGGGCTATAATAAGTACACCACACACACACACACACACACACACCTCCTCAACCCAAGTTCCCCAAGTGCTATTAGAGTCTGTGTGTGTGCGTGTGCGAGTTCGTGTGTGTGCACATGTCTGTTTCTGGCTTGTCTTTGCCTTCTGTCTCTCCCTCTGAATCCATTACTGTCTGTATTTCCGTCTCTCCTTGTACATGTGTGTATTTCTATCCGTCTGTCTCTTGGTTTAAGCCTGCCCATCTTTTTGTCTCTGTCATCTCTGTGCTCTGTCAATCTGTCTCTTTGCCTCAGTACCTCTATATCCAAGGATTCTCGCTCCCAGAAGCGCCATAGCGATCCCATAGAAGGTGGGGCCAGGGGCGCGCCTTTGGGAGGGGGTGTGCCTACGCCTTTAAGCGCGGGCACGCGCGGGGCCTGCGCCTTTAAGCGCGGCCGCGTGCGCGGCCCTGGGTTCCCGGCGAGGAGGCCGCGGGAGCGCCCGGACCCGGCCCGCCTGCCCGGCCCCCGCCCGGCCCCCGCCCCGGCCCCGGCGGGGGAGGGGTCTCGGAGCGCGGCCCCTCCCCCCTGCGTCCCCGCCCGCGCGCGGGGCTCCCCCGGCCTGCGTGTCCCTGCCTGTCTGTCTGTCTGTCTGTCGGCGCCCAGGCCTCGCCCCACCCCGGTCCTGGGGCTGCCCCGCCGCCCCCTACCAACCGCAGCGGACCCCCTCCCTCTGGGCCAGCCCCCGCCGCAGGCTAGGAGGCCAGCCGAGACGCTGTCGTCCCAGACCCGGGCCACCTGCACCTGACATCGGGGGCTTGCTCCCCGAGATTGGATTGGGAAATTCAGAAATCTGAGCCTGGGAACCTGATCTGGGGTCAACATCCGGAGATCGGCCTTGGAACCCTGACACCTGCACCCTGAAACCCTGTATCCTGGGCTGGAATCCCAGCATCGGTCCCTGGGACCCCAAAATTTGGAAACTAAATCCCATGATTTGGAGCACGGACCCCAAGATTTGGAGCCAGAACCCCAGGATTTGGAATCTAAACCCTCAAATGTGGAGCTGAACTCTGAATTCTGTGCCTGGCACCTTAAAATTTTGAACTGGATTCCCAAATCTATACCAGGAGCTTACCATTTGGGAACTGGACCTTGGAATATAAGCCTCAGATTCCAAGATCTGAACCTGGGGACTCCAAGGGGCCTGAACCTGATTTGGGCCCAGAAGTCCTTGCTGCAGACCTGAACACTGAAATCTGAGGTGAGACCTCCAACTCTTGACTCAGCATCCCAGTATCTGAACACAGAACCCCAAAATCGGATTCCAGGACAGGACGTAGGACTCAGACCCTAAACTTCCCATTTGGCAGTTTGCCATCCCAAGACTGGAGCTGGAAGACCCTGACCCTGAAAAACCAAAACTGGGTCTGGATCTCTAAAACTGGACCCAAAAGGTCCAATATTTGGAGGTTTGGGACCTGAGAATTGAAATCTGGAGACTTCATGGCCACAGATTTGAGTTGAGATACAGCATTCTCCTCACAGAAGTCTTGGGACAGAGATGGCATGACCATACGCCCACTCGAGAGCGCTGACTTCTGACCCCCTTGGAGCCTGAGGACTCTGCTCCCTGGGGTGGCTTCCAGCTCAGGTAAGACCACTGAGAGACCTCCACTGTGGGGAGGGACTTGGAAAGGTGGTTCTGTGGCTTCGAGTGGAGGTGAAGTAGGTGAGGGCCAGGTCCCCTTTGGCACTCGGGTTTTTCCCTAGAAAAAGACACTCTTCCATGAATCTGCCTCCGGCTCCTACTCTGTCTGCAACATTCTCTGGACACTTTCCCACCTCTGCCCCTCTCTGACCACCTCATCCCCAGTTGATGGTATCTCCAGGCCTCTGACGCTACTGCCCTTACCACTTCTCACCATCTGTCCTGTCTGACCATCTCCAGCTGCCTCTCTTGTCCACTGCTGCTCTTCCTGGTCCCCCTTCTCCACCTCTCTTCTGAATGACCATTTCTGTTCAACTTTCCTCTCTCTGATCATCTTTGACACCCCTGTCCACAGTTCCTCTCTCCAGCCACTTCTCCTATTGCTTCTCTCAGTGACCGTCTTTTCCACCTCTGTCCATGGTACTCCCTCATCATCTACTGGCTCTCTTACCCTCTGTCCACCCCTCTAAGACTGAGTCTATATCTGTCTCCAACCATGTTTGACATCTCTTTCTGCCACTTTTCTCCCCAGCTGCCCTGTCCATTTCTACTCTCTGGCTTCTTCTGTCTACCTTCCCTCTCTCTGACCATCTTTCACCATCTCTTTTGCCTACCGTCCCACCCCTAACCCTACTCTGTCTGTCTGTCTGTCTCTCTCCCTCTCTCTCTCTCTCTCCCTCCCTCCCTCCCTCCCTCTCTCTCTCTCTCAGAATCGAACCCAGGGCCTCATGCTGGGCAAGTACTCCACCACTGAGTTACATTCCCAGCCCTTTTTATCTTTTAAATTTTGACACAGGGTCCCACTAAACTGCCCAGCAGGCTGGCCTCAAACTTGTGATCCTCTTGCCTCTACCTCCCAAGTAGCTGGGATTACAGGCATGAACCACCATGCCCAGCTCTCTGTCTCTCGTATTCATTGATTTCTCTGATCATGTCTACCGCCTCTAGCTGCCTGTCTTCCCACTGATGACCTCTTCCCATACCCCTCATCCTGGTCATCTGTCCTGGTCTTCGGCTCACTGTGCTATATCTGTCCTTTCTCCTCTCTCTTTGATCGCCTGTCTGCCTTTTGACCATGCCTGACTGCTTCTCTCTCTGACCATCACTGATCAGCTCTCCTGGAGGAGCCACCTACGACCACCTCCCGTTTGTCCCCTCTCATCTTCTTGGCCACCCCAATCACTTCCTCTCTCTCTGCCCGCCTTCTTGACCATCTCTGACCATTCCCCTCTTGGGTCATATCTGGCCCCTTCTGACCATGCCTCCCACCTGATCACTGTGTCTCTCTTCAGCCACCTTAGACCATGTGTTTGGCCACCTCTGAAGCCCTCTAGCTCACCTTCTATTCGTCCTGACCAGCTCTCCTATTGGCTGCCCATCTCTCGTCATCTCCCTTCCTTCTGACCATCTTTGTTCCTTTTTGCTCCCTCTGTGTCTCTGAGTCTGACTGTCTCCTCTGGCTCTGGATCTACTACACCTCTCTCTGACCAGCTCTGCCACCCTCAGTTCACTGTGACCGTCTCTCCTCATCTCAGCCCACCCAAGCCCCTATGGGACCCCTCCCCGGCCTCGCCAGCCCTGACGCCTCCCCTTTCCCTGCAGGCCGCCCCCGCCCGCAATGGCCGTCTTCCCGTTGCTCCTTTGCCTGCTGCCACTGGCCCCTGCCTCGTCTCCACCCCAGCCAGCCACATCCAGCCCATGTCCCCGCCGCTGCCGCTGCCAGACCCAGTCACTACCCCTAAGTGTGCTGTGTCCAGGGGCAGGCCTCCTGTTTGTGCCACCCTCGTTGGATCGCCGTGCGGCCGAGCTGCGCCTGGCAGACAACTTCATTGCAGCCGTGCGCCGCCGTGACCTGGCCAACATGACGGGCCTGCTGCACCTCAGCCTGTCTCGGAACACCATCCGCCATGTGGCAGCTGGTGCCTTCGCTGACCTACGAGCCCTGCGTGCCCTGCACCTGGATGGCAACCGGCTGACCTCGCTGGGCGAGGGTCAGCTTCGTGGCCTGGTCAACTTGCGCCACCTCATCCTGAGCAACAACCAGCTGGCAGCCCTGGCAGCTGGTGCCCTGGACGACTGTGCCGAGACGCTTGAGGACCTCGATCTCTCCTACAACAATCTCGAGCAGTTGCCCTGGGAGGCCCTGGGCCGCCTGGGCAACGTCAATACGTTGGGCCTTGACCATAACTTGCTGGCTTCTGTGCCTGCTGGCGCCTTTTCCCGCCTGCACAAGCTGGCGAGGCTCGACATGACCTCCAACCGCCTGACGACTATCCCACCTGACCCCCTCTTCTCCCGCCTGCCACTGCTCGCCCGGCCCCGTGGCTCCCCTGCCTCCGCCCTGGTGCTGGCATTTGGCGGGAACCCTCTGCACTGTAACTGTGAGCTGGTGTGGCTGCGGCGCCTGGCCAGGGAGGACGACCTCGAGGCCTGCGCCTCGCCACCTGCCCTGGGGGGCCGCTACTTCTGGGCCGTGGGCGAGGAGGAGTTTGTGTGTGAGCCCCCTGTGGTGACCCACCGATCACCACCCCTGGCGGTACCTGCAGGTCGGCCAGCTGCCTTGCGCTGCCGTGCAGTAGGGGACCCAGAACCCCGAGTGCGTTGGGTGTCACCCCAGGGCCGGCTGTTGGGCAACTCGAGCCGTGCCCGTGCCTTCCCAAATGGGACTCTGGAGCTGCTGGTCACTGAACCCGGAGATGGTGGCATCTTTACCTGCATAGCGGCCAATGCAGCTGGCGAGGCTACAGCAGCTGTTGAGCTGACTGTGGGTCCCCCGCCACCTCCCCAGCTAGCCAATAGCACCAGCTGTGACCCCCCGCGGGACGGGGATCCTGATGCCCTCACTCCGCCCTCTGCTGCCTCTGCCTCTGCCAAGGTGGCTGACACCGTGCCCCCTACCGACCGTGGCGTCCAAGTGACTGAGCATGGGGCTACAACTGCTCTCGTCCAGTGGCCAGATCAGCAGCCTCTCCTAGGCATCCGCATGTACCAGATCCAGTACAACAGCTCAGCCGATGACATCCTCGTCTACAGGTGCAGGGGCCAGGCAGTGGGGCAGCTTGGGTGGGGGAGTGAGGTTCGGGAGAGCTGAGGGTACATCTACAGATACTCCACATGAAAGCCCAGCTGAGAAATGCTGCTGCAAGGCTGCAAAGGAAATCAAACCACAAAGGTAAAAGAAATTAGGCAGCAAGGATAACCAGAATCAGGCAGAAAGGATAAAAGAAATCTGGCAGCAGTGGTAAAAAGAAAGCAGACAGTAAGGATAAAATAAACTAGTCAGCAAATGTTAAAATAAATCAGGCTACAGGGCTAAACAGTATCAAGCAATAATGATAAAAGAAATCAGGTTGCAGAAGTAAAAAAAGACAGCAAGGGTAAATGGTAGCAAACGAAAAGGAAATTAATTAGCAGGAGTAAAAAGTAATCAAGACATGGGCTGGGGATTTAGCTCAGTGGTTCTGGCGCCTGCCTCGCAAGCACAAGGTCTGGAGTTCGATCCCCGGTACCCGAAAAAAAAAAAAAGTAATCAAGACAAAAGAGTAAAAAGTTAATGGGGGAAAGGGAGTAAAAAACTTCAGTAGTAAAGGTAAAGAGAGAAGCTGAGTGTGGTGGCATATGCCTCTGTAATGCCAGCACTCTGGGAGGCTGAGGCAGGAGGGTTCTAGCCCAACCTGAGCAATTTAGTGATGTGGCGAGACCCTCTCTGAAAATAAAAACTAAAAAAAGGGCTGGGGATTTAGCACAGTACAAAAATCCTGCGTTCAATCTCCAGTAGGGAGAGGGAGGAGGCGGTGCAGAGAGAGAGAAGCCTGGTTTTCCACATGATGGTTTGACACAAGCCAGGCTGCAGGAAGAAAAAGAGATCAAGCAGGAAGGTACAGGCATGTCAGGAAAAATGAAATGAAATAGACCTATTACAAAGGAAAAGAGGTTAAATAGAGACTAGGCTTCGTATTCATGTAGTGTGAGCCCTACATGTTTGGAGTTCTAATATGGTGACATAAATTTTTTATTTGCTAAATCAAATCAAACAGGCTAGGTATGGTGATATGTACCTGCAATCTCTGCTACTCAGGAGGTTGAGGAAGGCAGAATGCAAGTTTGAGGACAGCCTGGGCAACTTAGCAAGACCCTGTCTCAAAATAAAACAAAAACCAAGTGCAAGCTCTACTTGCCATGTGAATAGAAATACCTAGTTTAGCCAGGTGTGGTAGCACACACCTGAATCCCTGAACTTGGAAGGCTGAGGCAGCAGGATTGCCACAAGTTTGAGGCCAGTGTGGGCTACATAGTGAGTTCAAGGCCAACCTGAGCTACATGGAGACTCTATCTCAAAAACAAAACAAAACAGATCCAGTTTGCCAGTCTTTGGGGGCTCCCTTCTCTCTTCCGTGGTTGCAAACACAAAACCTAGAGTTCACATGCTCCATGGGGTGCATCAGTACCACTTCTGTCCCCAAGCCAGACAGCACTTGATATATCCGCTGTGAACACATATGGTCAGTAGTGGTAGCTGCTGACTTCTCTCAGCAGAGTTCAGCTTTGCATGGGCAGCTGTAGATGCCTTCCTGTCCTTGCTGCCAGGCTGGGCCAATGGTGCAGTCTCTGAGGCTTGAGTGCAAGCACTGGGCCTCCAAAGGGCTGGGGTCACAGCTTGGAAACCAGTACCTACACCCCCTTCCCTCTCCTGGGGCCACACTTCTTGAAGTTGTCATATGATTTTCTTTTCAGTCCCAATTCCACTGTTTTTCTCAGACAACACTACTCAGTAGATTCCAAGTCAGCCCTGAAAATCACACAATTCCTGGCCACCCTGGTGGAGGACAGGACAAATGCTCCTTTAGATGGTCACCCTACTACAAGCAATACCAGAGTTCCCTCTCATTAAAGCACTTTAGGAATAAAACAGATTGTAAAAGAAGTTAAACCTCCAACAGGGTACCTGTGACAAAAGAAAATACAGTAGAATTGAGTGGTAAGGATAAAAGGAAATGGGAAAGGTAAGAATAAATAGAAACCAGGCAACAGAGATAAAAGGGAATTAAGTGACAGAGCTGGAGAGAAATAAGGCAACAGGGAGAAAAAGAAATCAATGGTGATTCAGATGACAGGACTCCCTGGAAAAACACACTATATATGATAATAATAAAAAGGCAATGGGGCTAGTGGGAAATTTATTGGCAGGTTAGAAGGAAATCAGGCAGCAGGGGTATAGGGGAATCAGGTAGTTAGATTAAAAGATTAAAGAAAATTCTGGCTGTATACTAAAGGCAAATCAGGTAGCTGGAAAAAGGAAATTAGAGGCAAGAGAGAAGTCCGATGAGAACCACAGGAAAACTAGGTGAGGGTCTGGAGGGAGATAAGAAGGAAATTGTCCAGCAAGCTAAAAGGAAAGAGGTCAGGTGAGATGGAAATTAGTAGGGTTAGAGCAAAATTGGGCAGTAGAGAGATGTCTAACAGCAAGGCCAGAGGGAACCTGGGTAGCGGAGCAAGAGAGGAATTAGGCAGTTGGTTATAAATATATGCAATGGGAAGACCTCGGACGGTGGGCTGCAGAGAAATTGGGCATCGTGCCCAGAAGTGAATTTGGATGGCAGGCTGGGGTTGCAGGGGGAGTTAGAGTGAAACTGGTTATCAGTAGAGGGATAGCAAGCAGAGGGTGGATGAAGGGGTGTCAAACCAAAGGCAATTGGGGTGCTGGTTAGAGGGAACTCAGTGGACTAGAAATAAGATAGTAGGCTGGAGGGAATCTAGCCCCGCAGGACCTCTGCTTGGGGAAGAGCAGAGGGTGGGTGCTGAGCAGCCAGAGACCTGACCGACCTGCCTGCCTCTCCAGGATGATCCCGGCGGACAGCCGCTCCTTCCTGTTGACCGACCTGGCGTCTGGCCGTACCTACGATCTGTGCGTGCTCGCTGTGTATGAGGATGGCGCCACGGGGCTCACAGCCACGCGGCCCGTGGGCTGCGCCCGCTTCTCCACTGAGCCTGCGCTGCGGCCATGCGGTGCCCCGCACGCACCCTTCCTAGGCGGCACGATGATCATCGCGCTGGGCGGGGTCATCGTGGCTTCGGTGCTGGTCTTCATCTTCGTGCTGCTCATGCGCTACAAGGTGCATGGCGGGCAGCCCCCCGGCAAGGCCAAGGCCTCAGCACCTGTCAGCAGCGTTTGCTCCCAGACCAACGGCGCCCTGGGACCCATGCCCACTGCACCCGCCCTTGAGCCCACTGCACCCAGGGCCCAAACCGTGGTCCAGCTGGACTGCGAGCCCTGGGGGCCCAGCCACGAACCCGCGGGACCCTAGCCGGGTGCCCACCTCTATGGCTCTTCTGGCCCCAGGGATAACAGGACACCTGGCGGGACCTGCCCTCAGACTCACCAAATCGCTCACGGTTTTTAAAACTGATGGGGAGGGTGTCGGGGGCACTGGGGCACAACAAGAAAGTCCTATTTTTCTAAGCTCGGGCCTGGGCCTTTGCCCTTGTCTCTGTCTGTGGGTCTTGGGGGACTCTTGCAAGGATCTGGAGCTGGAGAATTCTTCCTCTGGGAGAGATCCCCCAGTTCAGCTTGAGTCCCCTTGGGGCCGGGGCTGAGGGTGGTCATCCATTCAGTCAACAAATATTCCTGGAGTGGCCACCTGGGTGTGCCCTGTGCTCAAGGATGCTGCAGTGACCCAGACAGCTCTCAGGGAGCCTGAAGTCCAGTAGGAGACAGACATGTCTTCAGACAGTGAGACCAGGGATGTGGTGACCAGGAAAGCCTAGGGGATTGTGTAGCCCAAAAGAGATGCCTGGCTCAACCTGGATTGTGGTCAGGGAGGGCATCCCAGAAGAGGAGACATTGGGGTCTGAGAGAAATATCTGAAGGAGACAATTGGGTACAGAGCAAAAGGAGGGCTGTTCCAGGTGGGGAACACAGCATAAGGAAGGGTCTAGTCTGTGCCTGGCACTGGGGCTGCTGTGGTAGAAATGAGGCAGGAATGGTGAGCAAGCTGAGGAGCTCATATGGTGGCCTGATGTGTTGGGGAGTCATGGAGGATACTATGCAGCAGAGGGTAGGATCACATTTGGGCTTTAGGAAGATCCATCTAAAAGAAAGTGGACCAGAGAACGAGACTTGAAGCTGGGAGTCCAGGAGGAAGCCAGGGCAGGAATCTGAGTGGTGGGAAAACTAAGACCAGGGCAGAACGAGGGGGGAAAACGGAGTGGGCAGCATGGACATTCAGGAAGCTGAGTAGAGGGGTCGTGGAGCTGAGGGTCATGGATGAGGGGGGTGTCCAGGACAAGGCGTGGGCTCTGACCAGAGGAAGGGGGTGATAGGACTGCCCAAGACAGGACCAAGGAGGAAGGGCATGTCTGGGGAAGATGCTGTGGCTGGTATGGGACCCAGTGGATGTGGGGTCCCCAGAGGATGTCAAGGGGATGATTCCAGGAGGCCAGAGGACTCTTGGTCTGAGGCTGGAGTTGGGGACAGAAATAGGGCTTTGTAGGCAGAGATGGGAACTGAGACCACTTGGGGTGAGATGGGCTCCGAGAGGGGTCCCAACTCCCAATCACTACGACTTTTCCATACTTAAGAGAGAGAGAGAAAGAAAAACCTCACAAATTCTATACAGGAGCATCAGGCAGTGGAACAGGGAAGAAAACCAAGCAATTCAAACCCAAGTAACTGTTGTGTCTGGTAATGTAAAGGTTACAGTAACCCCAGCAGAACATTGTTAGAGGCTCAGTAGGGTTAGATGCCACCTTCAGCTGATTTGAGAGTAGGAGGTAAGAAAGTATAGACAGGAAATGAGGCCTGGTGATTCTGTGGGCTGGATGATCTGGAACTTCCAGCCCTCACTCTGTGTTTGCCCTAGGTGCCCCCGAAGTTTGTAGGACCCACACTTGGCCTAGGAAATGGCAGCCCTCATTAGGGATCCAGGAAGGGGCTTAGCTAATGTGGAGGGGGGTTCACATTAGAAATGTGGAGGAAACTTGGGGCCTGTCGCCTGTCTGGAGTGATGCTGGTATGAACGGCATGGTGAAGAGAACTCATGACTGGACTGGCCAGTCTCATGACTTGGTGCACATGGCTTTGTCCCGATGGGCCAACAAATCCTAGATTCTGCCACAATTTATGTGGCCTTGTAAATATTACTCTGTTAGCCTGTGAGAACAACCTGAGTCCAAGGGACCTGGTCTGACTTCCCAATCCCCCAGCAGCATCATGAGTCCTTGCTCTTGTTGATTACTTTTGGGTGGCAGAGGTCAGGTGAGGTCATCAGTGAGAGGGAGGGCTTAAAGTCTTTTGTGGGACTGGGGCCGGGAGAATGGGCCTAGGGTTCGCTAGAAAATACCAGTTGTTGCCTGGAGGGGGAGTCAGAGCGCACTTCCTAAACCCTCGATTTTTTAAAAATAGCAATCCTGTGTGCCTACTGTGTGTGATGCCCTGGGGCCTGAACGCTGAACAAATACAGGTATAGGTCCTGCTGTCACATATCTCAGCATGTGGTGGGGACACAAATGTTAAATAGTCACAAGCAAGGGTAAAGCATCTGTGTTAACAAAGCGGACCATGCCAGAGAGATGTGGAACTGTGAGACCCTATGGTCAGGGAACCTGTCCCATGAAAGGAAGTTAAGGAAGGCTTCCTGGAGGAGGTGAGGCCTCAGATGAATCCCAGAGGATGCTCAGGTTGCATTAAGTAGCAAAGGTGGAAAGGGCATTCCATGCTCACGGAACAGCATGGTGTATAAAAGGAAGTAAAGGAGGCCAGGGCTGGAGGTGGCGTGAGGGAAGGGATGTGACATTGTATTGAGACTGAGGAGTGGGAAGGGACCCTGAAGGCTGCTGGGAGGAGTCTATTTCATTCTAAGTGGTACGAGAAGCCATTGGAGGGTTTTGAGCTATAAGGAGAGTAGGGTTCCTTGATCTCATGGAAGCTCCAGTGGTAGCTCTATTTGTGTGTGGAGTTTAAAGGTAGGAGGATATTGCAATGGTCCAGACAGAGGGTGACCTGGACCAGGTAGGCCCTAAAGTGAATGAACCGAAGGGAGATTTGAGATTATCTTGCCACAGGCCTCCATCCCTTAACAAAAGCTGTAGGACCATGGTCTCTGATATCCATGAGTCCATCTGTGAGTGGGGCAGCTGACTTCTCTGTAACGTGGGAATGAAGGTCCTTTCCGAGGTCCACTAGGCAGACAGTGGATAAAGGCTGAAAAGCAGAGGCTGGGGCTGGTCAGGGCGATGTGGACACAGGAAATGCAGGACCTGAAATGGGGATTCACTGAGAAGGGTAGTTTACTATAATTTGGAAGCAGAAGGCCAGGTATGGTGGCACATGCCTGTAATCCCAGCACTCTGGGAGGTAATGACTTAGTGAGATCCTGTCTCAAAATTTTAAAATATATATATATTTTAAGGACTTGAGATGTAGCTCCATGCAAAGGCCCTGGATTCAAATCCCCTGTACTGAAAAAAGAACAAAACAAGTTTGAAAGCAAGGAAGGTGGAAAGAAGGATGTGGGGCAGGCTGGTTCTTCTAGCATGAGTTCTATGCTCCTCACAGGATGCCAGAGCATCCCTTAATCCTGTGCAGAAGCCAATGAGCACATGTGTCTAGGATTTAAAGTTAAAATTCAGCTGAGTCCACCATTTTCCTGAGCTCACGGAATGTTACTTCTGTCCATTCCCTACCTGGCTTTGGAAAGCAACCTGCACAATCTAGAGCCCAAACCCAAGCTACTGCAACATTTTCTTGAAGTGACTGTAGTCCTGATACCCAGCTTCTCCCTTGTCTGTGTGCTGCCACATCCAACACATGTGTCTTGGTGTGGCTCAGTCTGGTAGCAGCCTGGGCATCTGGAGATATCCATGATCCTTTGCAAGGCCTCTACTAGGGCCAAGCTTTCAGCTGTCTCCATAGGCTCATATGTGGCAGAATGAGATAACAGGATGCTCTCAAAGTTGATGATTCTCTCCTGGATTGAACCTGATGGCTCTTGCCTGTGGTTCCTCAATGGTATCTGTGCCTTCACATACTTCCCAAAAGCAAGGATAGACTTTGATGCCTGGCTTCTCTATAGTGATTCTGGGGACATAGTGGTGACCAAGCAGCCCAGACCCTGCCTTCACAGGGTGGAACAGGATGGCAGCCAGAGTTGTCAGGGATGGGATAGGAAAGTATAGCCAAGAACTGATTGGAGTCTGTTTTCACAGAAGTCCAGGGGACTTTGGCAGCCAGGGGGGGAGTCTCAACTGAGCCTGGGAGATGGGGAGAGTTGAAGATTTCCAGAAAACAGGGCTTGCTTTATAGCAGTCAACCTCCTGAGTCACCCAGCAGCCCACATTTGCAATTACCCTGCTGCCACCTTCTTGAAATTCTTAATGAGATTTGAATAAGCTCCCCCCGCCTCTATTTTCACTTTGCACTTGGCCCTGCAAATTATGTACCCATTCCTGCCTAAAGGAAAGTACACTTACATATACAAAGAAGCAGGGCACAGTGGTGTATGCCTGTAATCCCAGCACTCTGGGTGGCCGAGGCAGGAAGATTGCAAGTTCAAGCCCAGCCTAGGCAATTTAGCCACTTAGTGAGGCGCTGTCTCAAAATTTTAAAAGGCTGGGTTCAATCCCCAATACCGGGGAAATATATATACACAAAGAGAACCAGGGGCAGAGGAAGCGTCTAAGAAAGGGAGAAAGAGGAGTGTCTATTGAACTGGTTGGAGTTTGGTGGTAGAAGAGGCATAGTGACAGGTAAACTCAAGTGGTGGGTGGAAGTCAGCTACCAGGCTGAGAAGCTCCAACCCCAGGGCCAGGAAGGGTGATAAACAGTGGAGGGACAGCATCAGGGTTGTGCTTTTAAAAATATCCATCCGGCTTCCTTTGAGGAGGGAGGATAGAAACAAGTGGCCAAGAACAAGATGGAGGCTCTGCTGCCTGTAGAGGAGCCTGGGAGTAGCCACGACCCTGGGAAAGGCTTGAGAAGGAGAGGTCAGTCTGAGCAAGTCTGAGGAGTATTGAGTGCTTGGGGACAGATACCTCAACACACCAGGACATTGGCTGGGGAGACCCCAAGGCCACAGGAGGCACCCTTGGAAATTTTCACTGTAGGGGGTGGGGAGGGAGCACAGAAGGGCAGATTACAGAATGTCACTGGTAAGTACTTGCAATTTTTCTTTTTATATGAGAATTTGCATGGCTAGACTAATGGAGCAGAATGCAACATTGGCAAGAATTTACAGAGTATAAAATGTGAGACTTCAAAGGACTTTATTCTGGATATATTCTGGCTTCAGCTCCGCGGAACCCCTGGGGCACACTTCCCTCCCTCCAGCCCTCGGGATACAACAGTAGTTCCCTGGGAATTTCCTCTTCAGCTTCTCTGTAAGTGCTATTCTGGCCCCAGGGCTGAGAACTGACCCCTTTCTTCCTCCTCTGCTCACCTCTTCCTATCCACCCTAATGCCTCAGTTTCCCTTGTCTACTGCCAAGCTCCACATTTTGGACCATGCTCAATGTCTTCTAAATCCAGACTGGGCTGACATTGGCTTCCTGGACTCCTCTTCTAGCAGCTCCTCTAGGGACGCACCGCCATACTGGCCTCAGCTTCTGTCCATTATAGAATCCCTGCTCAGCCTGCTGCAGGTCCCTTCCACCAACTCTTCCTCTCTTATCTAGCTCAGTCCTGATCTAGCTTGACCTCAGCCATCCAGGTTCCAACACTGGCCTCCTTCTAGGATTCCTGCCTCAGTCACCCTCTGATCCAAAATTTTCCTAAAGCCAAACCTGCCCCTCCTTTGCATGGAACCCTCTATGGCTCCCTTGTACTCCTGGAACCATCTGAGCTCCTCACCCTCATTCCCACACCCTCCTCCTTCCCCCAGCACCACTCCAGCACATATGTTGTTCTGCAATCCCAGGCTGGAAGGAAATTCTCACCACCCTCTGAAAGGCAGGGGACTTTTGTGTCTACCTTCATATTCCCTGTGCCCTCGCTTTCTCTGCTTGTGATGAAGAGCCAGAGAAAGACCTTAAGCAAGTGACAGGTAAAGCAATGGAGAGAAAGCTGGTTCCCTCTTGAATTTGCCCCTTTCCCCACTAAAGCCAATGGTTCTGGAAGAGAAGGGGTCTAGAGATGCAGGCTCCTAGGATCCGGAGAATATGATTAGAAATGGCACCTGGGATCTCTTCCTCTCCCTTTCTGAACACCCAGCCTTGCCCTCCCGTTCTGGGCCCTCCTCAGAGGGCAGCTCCATTGTTCTCCAGCTCGGCACCTTCTGGGAAGATGGACTGAAGTGGAGGCCACTGTCTTCCCTTGGGGAACTCTGTCCCCACATCTTCCACGCCACCAAATCCAGACACATGGTGTCCTCTCCCACCTCTGTCTCCAGTTACTTTCCTGATCCAAGAGTCTAGGCCCCCTCCCCACCTTCCCCAAACTAGGGAGTTCAAGTCCCCAGTCCATGGCTGGGGTGTAGCTCAGTAGTGGGGTACTTGTCTAGCACACAGGATGCCCTGAATTCTGTCCCAGCACAACAACAACAACGAAAAGTCTCCAGGCCTCCTGCCTCAGAGCTGCATCTCCGTTTCCTTCCTTCCTCGAAATCCAGCCCAGTCCTTCACTGGCCCCCAGAAGCTCAGGCCCAAAGTTTCTCCCTCATTGGCAGGCTCAGGACCTGCTTCTTTCTCCTTAGCATGGTCTTCAGGCCTCACTTCCTCAACCTGCTCCTTTGATCCCTGTTCTGTCACAGAAACATAAACCTTTCACCCCTCTAAACACAACCACCTCTCCACCCTCCAGGGCCCTCCTTGGAAGCAATCTTTCTTGTCTCTCTTTGAGTTATGTGTCTATGCCCATCTGAGTCTCTCACCTCCCCTTATCTGGCTCTCTTCACTCCTTTCTCTGTCCCTCCACTGCCTCTTGGTCCTATCCCCACCATTAGGCCTCATGGTGATCAATGGCACCAGGTCAGGCTGGAGCCAGTGCTCATGAAGACATCTGTGTACTGACCCAGGAAGGGGGCCCAGGGCTGGACCCAGGCATCTAAGAGGGACTATAAAAGTCCCCACATTGTGCCGGGCTTCAGCCTGTCTCTGAGCAAGTGAGACTCACAGTCTTACTTATTTCCCTGGGCATGGAGGCCTGAGCCTTCCCCACAATGCCACTTGTGCCTCCTCCTGCCCCTGCAGCAGGAGAGGTAGGGAAGACTGATGGGAGGCACTGTGCTAACTGTCCAGCTTTTTCCATCCCCTAACCAGCCATGACTGCCATTGTACCTGCCCACTATGCCTTGGCGCCCTGGGTTTCCTAGGGACTGAGAATCTGTGGGGACACAGAAAGCTGGAGAGCTGGTCTGACCTTACAGCAGAGGACTGGTTGTGCTGGCTTGAGTTGGAGTTCTGCCTGCCATAGTTCTGTGGTGGGGAATTGGTCACCATGGAGCTTCTTGGGACAAGTCCTTGGCCAGCTGGGACAAGGGGCTATTCGGGAAGACTCTGTCAGAGGGTTGGCCAAACTGGTTCTGGGAAGGGGGCTAGACAGCCCAAAAGAAGCAATTTTAAGCTAATATTTATTTGTTGTTTGTGGTACTGGAGATTGAACCTAGGATCTTAGCATTGAGTTAATCGCTAGCTCTTATTTTTTGATTTTTCATTTTGAGACAAAGTCTCGGTAAGTTGCTAAATTGCCCAGGCTGTGCTTGATCGTGCCATCCCCCTGCCTCAGCCTCCCAGAGTGCTGGGATTGCCAGTGTGGATCACCACACCCGACTTGGGCTAGTATTTATATCTCAGACATTGTTCATAGTCTTTACACCCATCATCTCCTCCATCAATTCCCATAGCTCCGTGAAGTGTGTACCAATAGCCCCTCTTCCACATGAGGTAACTGAGCACCTTGCCTAGGTCACATGGCTACACGTGACAGAAGCAGGATTAACAAACAGCTGATTTAATTGGCCTCAGAATCCACAGGGTTATTCTGGCTCCCTCCTCACCACTTCCAGTTCACTCAGACTCAACAGCTGCGTTTGTGGGCTTCTAGGGCCGTCGCTTCATCACAGTTTTCTTGGAAAACGGGGGCGCTGAGAAGCCCAACTTCCGGCAGAGTGTGTTGCCACCGTCCTAAGGGCCCCTGACAACTCGCGGGCGCCTGAGTGCTGGCGGGTGATGAGTCTACATCCGCGCGCCCCCAGGAACCCCAAGTGGGCGCTACTGCGCCACCTGCCGGGCACCCGCTACTCGGTGGTGAGGCCGTGGCTGTTTGCTGGGGTGGTGGGCGCTCAGCCCACGTGTTTGGCCCTCGGTACTCAGGTGTGACTGGAGGTGCTGAGTGCCCTACCCGCTGTCCCTTCCTTTTGCACTCCACCCGCCCCCCCCACACACACACTACTGGAGATTGAACCCAGAACTACATCCCTGTCCTTATTTATTTATTTATAGGCAGGGTCGTGCTGCGTAGTTCAGGCTGGCCTCGAACTTGCAAACGATCCTCCTGCTTCAGCCTCCATAGTGCTGGGATTGTAGGCATGCACTGCCACACCCAGGCCATCTTTTGAGACAGGGTCTTGTTAAATTCCCCAGGCGGGTCTTGAATTTATGATCCTCCTGCCTCAGCCTCCCAGAGTGCTGGGATTACAGGCATGCACCATCTTGGCAGGCTCCTCTTGCACGTTGAGCCCTTCCGGGCGCTGCCCATGCAGAACTCAGATGACCTATTCAGCTCCTGAGTCGTGGCCACCCAGCCTGTCTCACCGCTAGCTGGCCACAGTTGTCTGCAAAGGTGACAGAGGCTGTGGCCACGTGTCAGAACAACCTCTGCCCCAAGTCACTGGGGCCGGGTCTGTCAGATGCCCGCCTTAGCAGCGGTAGATCCGGGCCCGAACCACGCGTGTGAGGTGCCTGGGCAGCCCGCACTCCTCGGGGGCAGCACTGGGCGTGGCTTCACTTGGCGACGGCCCCAGTGTGCGCGCTGGGATTTCCTTCTTTAGCAGTGTGCAGGTGCTTTTCCTGGACGCAGCCAGAGCTCTCCGGGGTGCCCATTACGATCCCTCCTTCGCTCTTCCGTCCCTGGCGGGCGCGTGCAGCTGCAGCCTCACGCTCACTGTGCCGTGGGACTTTCCTAGCGTGGTGGTGCTGAGAGCGCCCGCGCCTGCCCTGGTGTGCCTGGTGCTGCCCGGCCCGAACTGGCGCCTCATTCCCCCTTGGCCCTAAGCCGCATTACGGCAGGCATTTGGCCAAAGCCTGGGCCCAGCTCAAGGTTTCGCCCACGGGTGTGGGCTCGGCGCTGTGTACCACCTGGAGATGTGAGGGTGGCCCATGGGCCTGCTCAGCTTCCGCAACGCCAAAGGCACTGGCATTTGGACCTGGGCCAAGGGGCAGCCTTGGCGGTTGAGTAGCGCTGAGCCCAAGCTCCTGGGAAGGTGAGCGGATGCCAGGGTTCGTGGGGATGTGGGTCGAGGAAAATCACAGCACTATATAACCGCAGCGGAGTTTTTAAATGCAAGTCACATTCTTTCTGCACTCAAAACCCCGCCATATAATTATTCCACCTCTCAGCGAAAGCAGTCCTTACAGTGGTGTATACGGCCCTAAGGCGCTGCTCTCGGTACTGCTCTTTCCACTGTGCCCCTCTGTCTCTCACGGTGTGCCAGCCAGTTGGCCCCCTTAGGTTCTTCTTCTTGCCCCAGGGTTACTGAACTAGCGGTTCCCATAATATCTCTGTGAACCATTCTCTCACCTCCTTCACGCCTTTATTCAAATGTCACACACACACACACACACACACACACACACACACACACACACACACACACCCAGTACTGGAGATTGAATTGAGGAGGGTTTGTTTGGGGGTTTTTTGGTTGTTTGCTTGTTTGGGGTGTTTTTTATTTTTCTTGAGACAGGGTCTGTGTGGTTCACGCTGACCTTAAACTCACTATGTACCCCAGGTTGACCTCAAACTCGAGGCACTCCTCCTCCCTCAGCCTCCCAAAGTGCCACCATGCCTGGTGAGATCAGATTTTTTTTTTTTTTGAGATCAGATTTTTAAAAAATTTTTAAATTGTCACACCTATGACAGCCTGCAGCACTGAGTAAACATTTCTAGAATGAATAATAATGGTTATAACTTGGTAAATATGCACAACATCATATACCAGGTGCTTGGCTCAGAGAGGACAATGTTGCCCAACATCACTTTCTCTCCTTTATTACAGTAAAAAGTGTAAATAATGGGGCAGAGGAAGAAATAAAATAGTAATGGATAGTA